TCAGCGCTTGTGCCCTCCCACACTCAACCCGAGGGTAATTGTCTTCCTTCTCCGAATAAACAAACGATGGAACAGATAGATTACTAGAAAGATGGATCGAAGAGATAGAAAAGAAAGGGAAAGAGGCTAGTGCACCCCCAAAACCTAGTGGGCAAGGTATCAGGAAGAAAATAAAAAATTATAAAAAATCGATGCGGAGAAAGGGGAGGGTGATTGCTTGCGCGGTTCGTATGGGTATGTCGGTTAGACAAGAAAAAAAAAATCCCCTTCCTTCGAACCAGAAAAGAAAAGAAAGGAAAAAAAAAACCAGTTCAGCCCTCCCTCCTCTTTCGATTATATACGGATCTGGAAAACGTTTGATTGAATTGGAGCAACCTTCTTTTTTTTTCTTTCTTTTTTTTTTTTTCCCTCACTCTTGCTTGGCTTCGCTTTGATTTTTGGATTATTTTTCCGTACAATGAATGGTTTACACCGCTGTGAATTTGTGAACTATTTGAAAAGTCCCGTATGGCGTCGGTTTGTACAGTACTTGTCTGCAGTCAAGTGTATAAACAAGACGAAGCAGCAGCAGCAGCAGTAGGAGGAAAGTAAGAAAGAAAGATGGGAAGATGCAAGATGGGAGAGAGAAAGAAAAAACGGTATCAACGATTATCCGCTAAAACACCACACAAGTTATGCTATCAAGATCCGCAGCCGCGGGTTTTATGTATGATATGGAGGGTGTGGGGGGGAGTGCTTGCTCTCTCTTCCTTTCCCTTCCTTTCCCCTTCCCCTTCCTCCTCTCTTCCCGGAGGCGGGGGCGGGTATTGGAGATACCGGTAGTGTACCAGTACCGTATTTAGGAAGCGGCAAGAAAGAGAAAAAAAAAAAGCTTCGAAGAAGTATCATACAGTACGAGTATGGTGCCAGAGGAATTGTGGTAACAGCCTCACTACCCCACAGGGGCCTAGAACCACTTAAACTATTTCTTTCCTTTTCTACTCCCCTTCACTTCTCTTTCGGGGAGAGAAAAATGGAAAGAGGGAAAGAGCCTAACTTGAACAAATCGGTTGCTCATACAAAATCCCTTGATCACGAGGGGGTGTGTATTCGAGTACTCGTACAGTACGGTACTCGTACAGTACCCCCCCCCCTGTTGATGATGATAAGGGGAAGGAGGGGAGGGGGTTAGGGAAAAGAAGTAAAAAAAGAAAGAAAGAAAGAAAGAAAGGAAAAACCCTCCTCCTCCCTCCTCCGGACTTTTCTTTTCTTTTCTTTTCTTTTCCCCTTGCGATCCTTCATCCCCCATCCCGTTACAAGAATCATAGCTAACTAAGCAAGGTCACGAAGATCCACTTTTGCGAAAATTGAAATTGAATTGAACAGAATTGAAATTGAATTGAACAGAATTGAAATTCAATGCACCATTTTTTTCTCTTTCTCCCCACTCGCTTACGGTACGGTACCAGGGAGTTGAGCTAGATACCATGCATGCATACATACACTGTACAGTACAGTACCAGCACGGTACACAACCCTCTTCCCAAACCCAGCTACCTAACAGGATAATTTTAACAGGAAGCCATCGCCCGGATGGCCTTTGTGAATCCCGCACTTTTTTCCTCTTCTTCTCCCTCTTCCTTTTGGGAAAGGAGGAGGGAAAGAAAAAAAACACCCAGCATTTTCTCAATTTTTCTTTGTGGTCGCCTCAAATGAATGAATGAAATAGCTACTTTTCTTTTCTTTCTTTTTTTTCTTCCCTTTCCTTTCCTTTCCGAATCCCTGTATAATAAATGCAGTCGATACTTAGAACAGAGCAGAAACCAGCTTTTTTTTTTTTTTTTTGAACCCACCCTTTACCGGTATTATTTTTCTTTCTTCGGTGGGGACCTTTTTTTTGGGGGGGGGTTCTTTTTATTATTCTTTCTTGTTTCAGGAACGGATTTGGCTGGTTTGGTGGTGGTGGGGGGGGTATTTTCGGGTTTTTTGTCGTGATGTTGGTTGGTTGGGGGAGAAAGGAAGAGGTAGAGTACTTGACTCCATTCGGTAGATATGGAAAGTCTAAATTTTATTGATAGGTAGAGTATGATAGTCTACAGTACAGTACTTTGTATGTGGAGGACATCAGAGTATTTCTGTCCATGCTGTAGAGTACTAGCCGATTTCATAAACTAGACCAACTCTACTACTGTAACATGGTTAGTAGGCACAACACCAGTACCAGAAACCACAAATCCCAATTCCCATGACAAGATCCCTACAAATCCGTAAGTTACTTGTAGAACCCCAAACAAAAAAAAATGCGGGGAAAGCTAAAAATTCTCCCCCTGCACCTCAGAGGGAAGAAAAGAAAAAGAAAAGAATGAAATAATAATAATGAAAACCATATTCAAAACGAACCCGCATCGAAACAAAAAAATCCTTAAAAAAAAAAACCCCAATTTCACATTCCAATCGTGGTATTCCCTCTTCCCCTCCTCCTCCCCCTCCTCCTCCCTCCTCCTCCCTCCCGCTTCCGAGTCAGGAACCCGCACGCCCTCCCCGATCCAACGCGAATAGGGTGGCTACAGTACTATCCAGTACCTACCGGACCCATAGATACAGTAGACCACAACAAGTATCATATCACGCTTCGAATCCTTCTCCCGACGGGGAATTTCTATGGTACCTGGAGTACCGGTATGTCCTGGTGCGAACTATATGCTGCGCAATTGCACCATACGAGCACTGTGCTTACTGTACAGTACAGTACCACTCACCCACCCGAGGCTTTTTTCACAGCGGGCAGGAGAGCAGCGTACTAGCACAGTACTCGAGTATCGATACCGGTATGATATTAAGGATCTACCCGGCGGCGCAGCGCGGATGTTTTTTTTTTTTTTTTTTTTTTTGGTGGGGGGGGGGGTTGTATGTATCATAGGTTTAGTGCCGGAAGAGAGAAACAGACAAACCCCCCCCCCCACCTCTTTTTTTTTTTTGATATTCCCGGTGAAAATATTGGTTACCGGTCCAATTGCGAACCTGCTAAACGGTGTTGACCTTCCACATAAAAATGCCAAAAGTCGAGTAAATACCATTCATCATCATCACGCTGGCTGGCTGGCCTGGGGGGGGAAAGGTAGGGTAAGGGTAAGGGTAGGGTAGAATAGGGTATGGGGTAAAGTGTAATAAGCACGATGACGATCAGTTTTATTTTTATTTTTATTTTTATTTTTATTTTTATTTTTATTTGCGGCAATTTTCAGTGATTCTGGTGCTGTGCCTGTCTGTATGCAGGTGCAAGCCTGTATGGTACTCGAGTACAGTACTGTGGTGTGCCCCTCAAAAGTACTCGAGTGCGAGCGCCGCATCATCCATCATATTATCATACATGGGGGATAAAGTATTGTACCTAACCTCACTTACGCTGCCTTAACTAACGGTAGGGGATAATGGTGTTGGGAGGCACACAGGGAGATTAGCCGTTGTGTTGGCTACAGTATGGCGAGGTCAGGGCAGTCTACTCGTATAGCATTGATATTGGGAGTTGTTTATTTATCCCCTCCCCCTTTGGACCAAATAAGTCCGTTTTTACCCTTTACTTCAGATCCAGGAGGGATATTTGATCGATGATACAGTGCTGCTGCATAGTACGATGTGGGGAAATGGAGGGCAAACCCGAGTCATGGAGGAGGGATTATTTTTCTGGGTATGATAATTATGATAATAATATTATAATAAGATACTTTTTTTTTTTGGTATCATACATCGAGCGTTAGATTCTGATGTGATAGCCCACGGTATAGTACAATTCTGTAGATTCAGACTGGAATGCCGTACCATGGCGTGACCTCTCGTTCAGTCAAATCCTGTATTTTAATTTTGGTGTCGAATCCGGATGAGTTAAGCATATACTGTATTTTTTTCTCTTCCATCCTTCGATGGATTTGATGGCTCGCTGACTATATGGATGGTGGTGTTGGTGCTCTACGCGCGTGCCAGGTGCGGGAAATCGGCTGCCGGGTGTCTGGTTCACCTGATATCGGGCGTGGTGGACGATGGATGGCATGCAGAAAAATCAAAGTTTCTCCACGGTATCATATGCACGCAAAAGCGAAGCCGATCACTCATTTTGAACCAAGAAACCAGCACCTCCACCACCGCAAGCCCGGGGTATAGGACTACGGCTAGAAATGATAGATAGAAAAGGAAGAAAGAGGGGAAAAAGCAAAGGGGAAAAATGGAATTGGGGGATGTAAAGGAAAGCAAACTTCATGTAGGAGTGCAGTACGGTACGAGTAAGCACGGAGCGAAGGCCTCTTTCTCTCTCAATTTCCCCCCCCCCAATTTGCTCCAAGACCGATTGTGAAGGGCGTTGAAGAAAAAAAATTGAAAAGAGAAGAGGAAGGAATCAAAGGTCAATGCAGATCTTTCAATCCATCCACCCAATCCCTCCATCTCTCCCTAGTTGTCCTTTAAATAAATCTAAAGAACACCAATTCCCGCATCAAGACCCCTCCTTCTAACGTAACCCCCCCTCTCACTTCGCCCCTCAGTCCCTTCTACAATCCAGCTTCCTTCCACCCTGTAACGTCCCATCTCTTCTCCCCCGTTTTCAAGTGCGCTTGGCTCGGCTTTGAAAGCGTGGAGTCAACGCTGGCCCTGACGTCCGCCTCCTCCAGCTGCCGCTGCAGTTTGTTCCTCTCCAATTCCTCCTTCTCAGCTGCCTGTACCTCTTCGCTGTCCGGTGCAAAGTTCCCAGCACCTCCGCGACCACGCCATGGCCGTAGGAATGGGGGTCTTTGCTTTTCGGCCACTGGCTCGGGCGTCGGTGTCACCGACATGGTATCCGTGATGGTGGCCCCTTGGGCTACGAGTTCTGATGGCTGGAACCAATTACCGGCGCCTCCACGTCCCCTAATTGTCCATGGCGGGTTGGTTAGCTTTGGGGGATCAGGGGGCTTAGATCTGTCATGCGTTTGGTCATGAGGTATGTAGGGGTGGAATAATGGGGTAGAGGTGGAGGTGGTGGGGTTTGTTATTAGGGTAAGGGGATTAGTTACATGTGCTTGTATTCGCCCGGTGGAGGGGCGGCTACCTCGTCTGCAGCGAGCTGGTTTGCAGAGCCGGTTGCTTTGGATTGTTGGGCTTCTAGGTCCTCTTCCTATATCATGACGTGGGCTTTAGCTTCAGCCCTAAACAGCCCTACCCTCTTCACAATTGCTCTTTTCCTAGGGGACCTGGATATGAACAGCCCGGCAATCACCAAGGTGTTTGCTTTCTATGATACCATACTTTTTTCTGAAGCTCTTCCTTGGAAATCATGTTTCCAGCACCACCACGGCCCGTCCATACGTATTCGGAAGACATGGTGTTTGTTTTCGGAATTTCAATTTCGTCGCAGGGTTGGCGTGGAGCCAATACCCTGGGAATGGTAAAAGAAAAAAGAAAAGGGCGCGATGCTGTATAAGTTCTGCAGCTGATAGATTGGGCGAGTAAGGGAGAAGGGGGACGAGAAAGAGAGAGGGGGGGAGAGAGAAGGAGAAAGAGAAATGGGTGGGGGGTTAAGGTGCGTAGGTGCGGGTGGGAAGAATACAGTTTTCTAAAAGGAAGCTATCCTCCCTATTGGCTATCAGGTTGACAAAAAGGAAGTCGTAATTTCGGAAAACGTTGCATGCGTCTGCACTTCTTCGCCTGATAAGGGAGATGTCTGGGCGTAAAATCGCTACCCACACATATCGTACCCGAGTGTTGTAGATAAAGTGGGGGGGTTGACAAGGCCCGGCAAAAAGTTATGGGACAGTTATTAGAGGTTGACTAGACGGCTGGATCCTTCCTGAACCTCTTTCTGAGATAACTGTAATGTTAAATTTCTGATAATGTCATTACTGTATGGCTGTGCCCAGAACAAGGGATATAAAGAAAAAAGTAAAAAAAAGTCAAGAAGGTTCGATCTACTCTTACCCCATCATTTTCCTTGGCAGACAGTCGATCATTTCATCTCACTTTTCTCTCTCTCTCTTTTCTAGAGGAAGAAGAAAAAAACGCCCGAGAACATGAGACATGCATTTTCGCGGTAAGAAAAAATAATTTATGTTATTCAAACATCTCGGATACAGCGTTTACGGTGAATATATATTCCGCTCTCTCTCTCACAGATGTGTTCGATTAACGTTGCAGATCATCATCATCGTCATCATTCTCGGGGTTGGGCTGGTCCTTAGGCAGGATTTGACAGCGTAAAAACTCGAATTGGACCGGGTGCTACGGTATGTCGTTGGGCTTTCCTCTTCCCCAGTGAGATCGGGAAAAGAAAAAAAAAAATCTTTCTCGGAAGGTGGAAGGGGGGCTACCGGTATGTCTTTGGTGTGTTCTTTTGCCCCCTTTCCAGAGAAGGGAATTTTGGACTGCATGGCACATGGTCCAATTGCTCGAGCTTTTACGGCATATTATTATAAACGTATTCGGCGAGCAGGAGAGGAACGAAAAGTTACGTCGCAGCGCACAGCGACCAACTGACCGAGCAGAGTCCTGCGCAGTTATTTTGAATTGTTGGTGCCGTAATGTTGCTTAAACAGTGCGGGCACGGGTTTGTAGCATCATATGGATTGTTAATTGGGCTGAGAGCTGTCTTTATATATTAATCCGCTTTTCCTAACCAAGGAAAAAAGAACGACGCCAATGGGTGGACAGATGGATCGTTTGCTTTTCTGCTGGGACAGATAGACAGACATAGACATAATACCCGTATGTATAGTACTCGAGTATTCGTTCGCATCGTGTATGTATGTGAAGTTTGTTTTTGCCCGACAGGAGCCCCGTCAGTCAGTCGTCGTCGGGAGAGAAATCTTTGAAGGCCATTGGTGCCGGTGATGATGCTGGGCAACGACATCAGGGTATCGAACCGGTGTGGCGATGAGATTTCACCGCTCTTGCACTGCTAGCTTTCGCCTCGTGTACGGGTACTCTTACCGGTACTGTACGAATGTTGTGCGCAAGAGAGGGAAGAGAATAGCACAGCTCAGCCCTGCTGCACCTTTACGGTCCTATGCAAAACATAAAGTGGCCTTCCAGGAAAGAAAGAGGAAAAGAAAGGAATAAAAAGCTCTCATGACATTGTGCTCGTAGGGGGCATACCGTCATGCCAATAAGAAAACTTTCCAAGAAGGGGAACGAATTTGATATCGCTACCAAAAACTCCCAACGTCAGCCGAGCCCAATCGGCTACCCATCCAGTCAAGCCAAGAACCCGTAGAGAAATACTTTACCTGCAAACAACAGCAAACTCCATCTGTGTCATCATTGGGGTAGATTACGATATAGACGCCGAGATAGATAAAGAATGAACCTCGTATCAGCCAGCAGACAAGGGCGAATTACCGTGACATGCTCGTGGTGTAGGTAGCCGAAGTCTATCAATTCATTAGCAGGCTGAGCTATTGCACGCAAACACCTGCATCACCAGCAACAAGCATAACAGTTCACTACGTGTTTTTTTGTTGAGTTCTCACTTTTGGGTTATTTTTTGTGTAAGAGCACAAGTACTTCTTCTCGGAAGTGATGTCTATGGGTCACGTGTGAGGGGGCGGCCGCGGCGTGCGACTTTGCCTCCCACTTGCCGATAAATGATAAGTGGTTCCGGGGTATGCCCATTGGCTGGATGCAAAGTAGGTGACAGAAAAATTCGGGCCATTGGTTTTGTCATACATCGAATACAGCACCATGATTGACAACTCAACACCACCAGACTGAGAAAATCCCCCATGGGCTATGAGCACTACGTGAATAGCGATCTCCCCCCAGGGTGCAGGTGTCGAGCACTTAGGTTGATCGCTTGTTTTGTTATATGCTATAGTATGGTGAGATCTGAAAGTGACTTGTGATTTTGTATGGGTGTGTGTGCTATGCAAAAAAAAGGTGCTTGACAAGCGTCTTCAGCCTGCAATATGATGTAGTTTTTCTCAATAAAATTTTTCTTTGTTCCTCTACGCAAATTATTTTTAATACGAGCTGCTCTAGACATGTCTTCTGGCTTGGTTCGTCTTAAAAGGAAAATTGTATTCCCTATGGCCAAGAAAATGGTGGCAAAAGACGACAAACTTTCGGTGCCAAAAGGACCCGTCCCAGCAAAGTACTAGACTACAGTATACCTTAGTAGATTCCATCTGCAATTCTTACCCGCCTACCTGCCTACGGTACTTGCAATACCAGCAATCGACAAACAACTACCGGTATTGCTCAGTGCCAATCCAGAGTCAAACACCCCCTCTCCCCAAATGGTACAGTATCGTGTCTCTTGGACCACCTGGCAAAACATCAGCCACGCGATACCCATGCACATCCATCCATCCATCCTTCAATACATCCAATTCTACATTCAGTATATTACACCATTTTCGGAAACGCCTGCCAACAAACCAACCAACCAAACAAGTAAGACCGCTCACCACACTCTAGAGCACAATACTAGTACATATTTTTTAAGCCAACTTTACAGCCTTGTTTCCCTTCCTTTTCTGTCTCTTTCCTTCTCTCCTCCTCCCTTTGCATGCCGTGCCGCTAAGGCAGGGTATAGTAAGTGCATGCGAATATGATAACAAAACTTTAGCCCCGTTGGCCGCGATGGATACCTCGTCTCTCCGGGTGGGGAAGGGGGTAAGAAACCCACCCCCGGGATTGATTGCTAATGAGGATGCGGGTACAGCACGAGCGCTGCAGGGCTGGCGAGCGTGTGTGTGGATGTGGTTATGATACACGGTTTGACCAAGGTTGGGTGTGATAGACTGATTCTCGGGTGGGTTGGTTTGGCAGCGGTGGTTTGGCGCTGGGGGGTACGAATGGGAGGGTGTGAGGTTTTGGATGGGTAGGTGGTAGGGTTGGGATATTTCGGCGGCGGGAGCCCTACTGAGAAGGAAGGGTGGGTTGGGGTTGCCCGTAAAGATCACACTGATCACTCGATAACCCGTGAAGCCTATGAGGCCCTGGCTGTTTGTCGGTGTTTATTTGTGTTCTGGGTATCTCGCGGGTTGCTATATCAATAACTTTCCTAGCTCCGCCGGGGTAACCAGGAACAGTACTTACTCTACTCGTACCGTGCTAGAATAATACTCTAGGAGCACTTGTATGTTCAGATGTTGATTGCTCGGCGCTGCCCTGTGTTGGTTTACCATTATCCGCACCCGCATCCACAGAGCTGAAGCCCTAGGATTCTCAAAGGACTGCGCAAACATGACATCTCTACAGTTTCCGTTGTCGTCGTATTATTTCCTTCTATCGCGCGACCTTCTACTCTACTATAATACTCTATTCTCTCCCGGACAGTCAGTACTCTACGTGGGCCAGCGAGATATCTTGCCATTCCAAACTTAATCGCTCATCACTTTTCTTCGACGCCTTCCTCATGCCAACCTTTTCCTCCTGTGCCCATTCTTGCCTCGTAACCTACTCGTGGCTTATTAGCATTTAATCAATAGATGGAATTCCATACCAAGGCTTCTTATGGGGGAAAAAGGCAAACCAGACACCTCATCGGAAGAAGAGCATACTCCCTAAACTCAACCAATACAAGGCACCTCCCGCTTAAATCATACATTATCACTCGCAATCTCCCCTCTTTCCCCTGCACATGGGGCTCCGTAATTTCTCATGGTCCCGAACGGACAACAAAATATCGCATTGTCCCCCCCTGATGTTGAAACCAAAAAAAAAAAAAGAAACTAGTGACTCCGCTATCAGCCTTTCCCTCCCCACTGGTCGAAGAAGCGGTTTAAAAAAAAAGAGTTCAGCAACCGGGATTCCCACATGGTCACCCACTGTAGTACTAACCGGTCGATACGATGCTTGTTTACCGCAGAGCGGACGGGATGCGAAATTTTCATCGTTCTATGGCCGAACACATCTGTATGCAGTTATTTTCAGATTATAACCTGAAGTCACTATCGCTGAACGTTTAACGTTCAAAATTTGAAATGACCTAATTTTACTACAAAACAGCGAGGAATTTACGCTTGTGCATTGAGGACCTGCTCAATTGATAACGTGCGAATATGTTCAGCTACAGGCAGGCGAAATTTCGCATTCTGTCTACGGGTACTTCAGCTTCTTTGTAACCCTTAGTAGTGGTATCGTAGCACTGGCCGAACACGGCTTTCTTGAGGGAGAAACATCGTACGTTTCACAGCTTGCGGGACCCGAGTTAGTGTTTTCCCGATCCTTCGGGGCCCGCAATTGCCCCGAGATATCTGCCAAAGGCACTTTCTCGGCCCTGTGTTCACTTACCGGCAGACCAAAGGTTTCGTTCTCTTTGGATATTATAAGTCTTGGCGGGTGCTTTATTTTCTTCGCCTGACCACCCGGGTACGATGCGCTTACGGGGGAGAAAGGGGGGGGGATTGTGATCAGTTTAATGCAGTCATGCTTTGTTAATATCGTACCGATACTGTCCATCTCTCAGGGGGCCAATGGCGGGGCCAAGTGTAATCACCAGCAAAGTTCTCTCATTCATTGACTTATCATGTCGGCGTTCACGGCGCAGGATTTGTCATCTCCTGACGCATACTGCTTGCAAATAGTTTAGTGAGCCGTTGTAATTACATCATTCTTTCTTGTAGCTTCCTTCTCCTTTAAGGATCAACGTACCAAATCTGCAGAGC